TCATCTGGCACCTGGCCCGAGCACCACGAGCGCTCATAAAGCCGTACCAAGGGCCCTTCAATAACCCCTGCTAGCTCCCTCAACACCCTGGGGTGGAGAGCATCTGGACCCGCTGATTTGAACACGTCCAGCCCCTCCAGAAGCTCTCTAACCCGGTCCTCCCCAACCTCTTCCACTAATCTCCTCAACTCATTGAAGCTGGCTTTCTTGAAGTCTAGGGCTACTGCCTTGATGCTGGCCCTTGACACCCTGTGCTGGATGGTAAACTCCAGCAAGCAATGACCGTTATTGCCCAGGTGGTCAAGGACCTGGAGGCCCCTTACCAAGTCGTTGCCTGTGGCCAGGACCAGGTCCAACAGGGCATTTCCTCTGGTGGGACTGTGCACCTCCTGAATTAAGTGGAGGTCCTGTATCTTGGCCAGGAACCTCCTGGAACGGTCCGACCTGGCTGACTGATCCTCCCAGCAGATGTCCGGGTAATTTAAATCACCCATGACAACTACATCCCTTGCCTTAAGTGCCTCTGCAAGCTGGCCCAAAAATTCCTGGTCCAGCTCCTCCCCTTGGTTGGGGGGTCTGTAGTAGACCCCCACCGTTAGATCCCTCTCCCCACGGCCCCCTTGTATCTTGACCCAGAGCACTTCAGCTTGTCCCTCCTCTGACCCCATTTCGCTGGCAGAGGATATGTATTGCTCCTTGACATAGAGCGCCACACCCCTGCCTTTCCTTCCTTCTTTATCCCACCTGTAAAGCCCATAGCCCCTAATGCTAACTGCCCAGTCGTGGGATGAATCCCACCAAGTTTCTGTTGACCTTAGTATGTCTGGGTCTGAACTGGCTATTCTGAAGGCAAGTTCCTCCTGCTTATTCTTCATACTACGAGCATTGGTATATAGGCATTTAAGGCCCTGCCTAGCTGCATGTGCCACCCCCCGATTTGGGAGACTGTTTGGACCCCTGTTTCTTACCTGGGCACTCCTAGCATTTGTTACCTGTCTTGCTCGGGTGGTGTCTCCTCGTCTTTCTTCGGTTGATGCATGCCAGTGTGTTATTTGCTCTGCTGGCCTCTGCATCACACTGATGGCTCATATTCATGCGATGGTTAATCATTACCCTAGGTCCCTTTCGGCTGTGGTGCAAGTCAAGCTGTCACCACCAAGCCTGTATGTATGTTGAGGGTTTTTTGCCCCCAGATGGAGCACCTTACACTTGGAAGCGTTAAACTTCATCTGGTTCTGGTCTGTCCAACTCTCTAGCCTGTCCAGGTCCACCTGTATCTGCAACCAATCTTCTGGCATGACCATACTGCCCCATAACTTGGTGTTGTCCATGAACTTGGCCAGCAAGCTTTTCACTCTCCCATCCAAATGATTGATAAAGATGTTGAAAAGCACCGGTCCAAGCACAGACCCCTGAGGGATGCCACTGGCCACTTTGCACCAGGATGACACAGATCTGCTCATGAGAACTCCCTACTGTGTAGCCAGTTTCCCACCCACTGAACTGTTGAGCAGCTGAGCCCACAATCTTCCAGTTTTCCCACAAGGCATATTGTGGGATACTAGATCAAAAGCCATTTGGAATTCTAGGTATATAACGTCTACCTTGTCTCCTTGTCTCCCCTGTCCAGGTGGTGAGAGACCTGGTTGTAGGAGATGAGATTGGTAAGACAAGACCTACCCATGACAAAGCCATGCTGGCTGTCATTCAGAATCTTACCTTCTGTGACAGTATCACACATAGATTCATTAATAAGCTTTTCCAGGAGTTTCCCTGGGATAGAGGTTAGGCTGATTGGCCTATAGTTGCCCAGGTCTTCCCTCTTCCCCTTCTTGAAGATGGGCACAGTTTTGGCCCTTTTCCAATCCTCAGAGATTTCCCCTGTGAGCCACCAATTTTGAAAGAGCTTTGCCAGGTGTTCCGTGATGACCTGAGCATCCAAGTGTTTCTTAAAGGTATCCAGAGTAGGTGCTTGCACCACTTCTGGGGGGAGTCTGTTCCAGACTCTGGAGACTTGGACAGTAAAGAAGTTTTTCCTTATGTACAGTCTAAAATGATCTTCCAGCAATTTGACCTTGTTTTCCCTTGGGGTGCCCTGGTGAACAGACGTTCTCACAGTTCTTCATGCACACCCCTTAATACTTATAGCCGGCCACCAAGTCACCCCTGAGCCTTTGCTTCTCCAGTCTGAAGTGTTCCATGACTCTCAACTTCTCTTCATAATGCCTGTTCTCTTCTACTCTAATCATATGCGTGGCTCTCCTCTGGACTCTCTCAAGCTTCTCCACATCCTTTCTAAAGTGTGAAGCCCAGAACTGGATGCAGTACTCCAGCTGCGAGCTCACCAAAGCCAAGTAAAGTGGGAGGATGACTACTTAGGTCTTGCTTAAGATTCATCGGTAGATGCAAGCCAGAGTTTTGTTTGCTTTGCTGGCTGCATTGCATTGGTGGCTCATGTGCATCTTGTGGTCAATCATGACCCTTAAATCTCTTTCGGTCGTGGTGCTAGTGAGTGTAGCACTGCCAAGCCTATAAGTAAGATGTGGGTTGATGTGGGTTTTTTTCTCCTGAGGTAGAGCACCTTGTATTTCTCTGTGTTGAATGTCATCAGGTTTTGAATGTCATCAAGTGTTGCATGTCAACAAGCCCACTTTGCAAGCCTGTTCAGGTCAGCCTGAATTACCAGCCTATCCACTAGAGTGACCGCATTTCCCCATAATTTGGTGTTGTCTGCAAACTTAGCCAGTCCACTTCTGAATCCAGATCATTTATAATATATTAAAGAGTACTGGTCTGAGTACTGAGCCCTGGGGGACACCACTGGTCACCATGCACCATGCTGACTTGGTTCCATTGACTATCACTTTCTGGGTCTAACCACAGAGCCAGATCCTCAGCCATCAGACTGTAAGGTTGTCAAGGCTGCAGCTCCCCAATTTTACCATGAGGAGATCTTGGAAGACCAAGTCAAAGGCTTTTTCGAAATCTAAATATATGACATAAACCTCTTCTCCTTCATCCTAGTGATGCACCACCTGGTCATAGAAGGAAATGACCAGGCAAGACCTAGCCAACATGGCTTCATTGCGGGTATCTCTCAGAACATTGCCTTCCATTAGCCTGTTGTTGATGGTTTTTTTGATGATTTTTTCCAAGATCTTTCCAGGGATTCAGGTCAAACTGATTGGCCTGTAGTTTCCCTGATCTTCCTTCTTTCTTTTCTTGAAGGAGATTAGCTTTTTCCTGGGTGCTGGTTGTCAGCTGCCCCATTTGGGTCAGGAAGGGCCAGGTGTTGTCCTTGGTCTTTTTCTGACTTCCCACATATTTGAAGAAGGACTTTTTATTGTCCTTGATTCCCATAGGCAGTTTGAGTTTGGTTTCAGCCTTGGCTTTTCTGGTCTACTCCCTACAGGTGCGGGTCAATGCTGTATAATCCTCCTTACTGGTAGTTCTTAACTTCCATCCCTTATAAGCTTCTTTTTCAGATTCAGGAGGTCCATGAATTCCCTATTGAGCCAAGGGGCTCTCCCAGCACTTTTGCTATCTTTCCTATAGGAGGGAATGGACTTCCCTTGTGCTTTTAGGATCACGTCCTTAAGGAGCGATCTCTCATTGTGGACTCCCCTCCCCATCAGATCATGGTTTCTCAGGGCCTCAACAACCAACCTCCTGAAGTCGTGAAAATTAGCTTTCCTAAAGTCAAGGATTTCTGCATTGTTGACTGATTTGCCAGTTTTGCAATGGAGAGAGAAAGTGATCAACTTGTGACCACTGTTACCAAGCTTCCCTTCGATCCTCAGGTCACTAACTAGATCATCCTCTTTGGCCAGTACCAGATCCAGCAGCATCTTACCTCTTGCTGGCCCATGGACTTCTTGAGTCAAACAGAGCTCATCAATGCAAGTGAGGAACCTTTGTAACCAATCATGAAAGCTTATGCTACATATATAACTCTAATTTAGTTAGTCTATAAGAGTCAAATCTACCCTTCAGCTCTGTGTAGACAGGAAGTTGGAAGGCCAAAACGTTAGAAAAAACTCTTACCACAAACTTCAGGACTAAGCACACTGGAATCTCAGTGAAGAACCAGAACTATATGGAATTGATTCATGATGGTAATTTTTGACTTGGTGCCTTAGTAAGGCCACAAGATTGGGCCCCAGAAGTATAGTGAGGTATTGCACTAGAGGGGCAGAGGTGGAGTAGGTGGGAGTGGAATTATTCTGACCACTGGAGAAACATTGCACTCACCTTGCTCACCCCACAGATATACAACATGGCATGCAGCTGCTTGTCTGGCTCCTATGGGCAGGCTACCCCTGCCACAAAAAAGACTCCTGTGAGGGGGAAGGGAGAGATACTGGAGCCCCCTCCCAGTCAGCACCCAGGGCTGGTGTCCAGTTTGACCCACCATAGTTATTCTATGCATGCATGGCATATATACATTGAGCTCTACTCATCTATAAAACTGTAGACATGCATTTTCTCTACATTGAGGACTGGTGAATTTGCTGACCCTTGTTGAAGTTTAAACAAAACCTGGTTTAGTTTTATTTATCAGACAGTTTTGTTTGGTAAATAGAGGATAAGTGAATTGGACAGTGATTACTGACAAAGGCCGTATCTTATACAGAATAAAATGTATTGTATGAACCCCATTAGGTATGTCTTTCTGAGTAAATACACATTTGGTTTCAAAGTGACTAAGCTTCCAGACTAAATCAACATTTTGAAATGTGTCCACAACAATCAAGGGTATTTTTAGCAGATAACATGTTTGTAGAAAGTTAACAAAAGTAAATCAGGCACTGCAAAACATGCATTTAATTCAGTTGATGAGTGAAAACCTACAGATGTTTCTGGCAAGCAAGGTATGAAATATGTTGTAAAAAAGACATTGCCCAATGTGCAAATGTATGAAAGGACACAATGGCATTCTACTGTTCAAACTATGTGCTCAGGTCATGTGCTGTAGGACTTACTTTCACAGTGCTTGCCATTTCTCTGCAGTTGGTAGCCTGACTGGCACTGGCACCTGTAGTGGTCTTCAGTGATCTGAATGCACTCCTGTTCACAGCCCCCATTGTTGACAGTGCAGGAATTGACAGCTAAAGCCAGGGAAGAATTAACAAAGAGATGTCAAAAAGCCCAAATATTTTTTTTTGGATCAGACTGAAACATACATTGTAGTACAGGCAGTCCTCGACTTACAACGTTTCCTACTTACAACGTTTATAAATTGACACCCTGTTTCAACTTTGACGTCAGTTTTGACTTTACAACGTTTAATTCAACATGACACCACATCAGTGAACAAGTCTGCTGCATTGCTCATCTCCCTAGAGAACATTTGTCCAAACTTCCTTGGACACTTTCTTTAAGAAAGCAGATAAGACTCCAGAAAAACCTGCAGCCGAGACTCCTGAGAAGACTCCAGCCAAGAGCCCTTCAAAAAGTCCAGCAAAGTCACCTCAAAGAAGTCCTTCCAAATCAATATGATTGCTATTTACAATATAAATACATTAATATAGCTCTATTACTCCTCTATAATTGATTGAGTACAAAATTCTGAGTTATTTTTTGGTGAAAATAGGGTATCAGGCCTTGGTTCAGGAACCAATCCCCCATTTAGAACATTGCTTCCTATGGGAAAACCAGTTCTGAGTTACAACGTTTCAACGCAGTTTCAGGAAGCAACTGTGTTGAACGTCTGAGGACTGCCTGTATATGCCCTATATACTGTGCTGTTATTGTTCTCAAACATCACACAGCACCACAGCAAACACTACAAGGGGAGTCTTCATGTATGTCACTGGATTCAAGGAGACTTAGTTTCTCTAAATTGTACATTTATGCAAGTCTCTTTTGCTCTGACCTTGGCCTTGGAGGAACTCACTAACAAGCTGCAGCTGCTTTCAAGCCTAGAGCTGGGTTCCCACAACTTAAAAGAGGACATGACACAATCAGTGCTCAAAGCTTACTTTTCCTTTTAAATGCATATCTAAAAGTTCATTTTACAGAATGACTATTCAGACCTGCTATAAATTAAGACCAGAATATAGGACATAGAGGCAGAGTTTAGGGCTGCACCTATTAGTACAGGTGTTGTGCTTGCTTTTTCAAAGGCAGCAGTGCCAGAAGCTGAGGAAGGAAGACTTGAGTTGCAGGAGGAGGGAAACTTCTGAGCCTGGTATTGGTAGGCAGCGAGTCTAAAGAGCAAGACTTTTGGGCTGGGATTCTGAGACAAAAAAGCTTGCGTATTAATTTAAGGAAGTACGTGGTGATGGAAGACATTCTGACCCTGAATGAGGATAAAGATTCAGAACAGAAGAGGAAACTTTTGAAGCTTTGCCAATATGCACTATTTTACTGGAAATCTCACAATAATTTTCAATAGCTTCAGCTTCTGTGTTCACAGAACTATTTGATTATCTCAGCTTGCATTTTCACAAAATAACTTTAACCTCAGTGGTTGTAAAGAAAAGCTAGAAAACATGACCCGAGTGTGCTATTAAGACTCAAAAAACTAGTAAACAAATAAAAGCAATCCAAAAAGACTCATGATTTTGGGGGTTTGAGTCTGAATTTTTAATTGGGGTTAGCAAGATCAGAGAGCAGCCTGATCCAGCCTGTGTTGCAGATACCTATGTGAAGTTATTTTCCAGGTTTGATACCAGAGAAATCCAACTCAGTTAGAAGGGTCCTTTTAATTTCTTTCTATATGCTCTTTGCTGTAGGGTTTTATTTTGAAAGAGGAGAGGAATGAGGGAAAAGGGAAGCCTCTTTTTCTTTTCATCTCTCATCGATCCCCCTCATGCCGCAGCAAAACTTTATTTGTGGTACCTCTAACCATGGTGTCCTAGTTGCCACCGGAAGGACCCACCACTTGTTCTAGGCAAGATGGCAAACCTTCATGTATAGTTTCATAGGCAATCTGTCTTTTTCCACTCCTTTATTGTTAACCCTAGTGCAAAAAAGTCCCCACAAACCAAAAATGGATCCTGACAGCTTAAGCAAAATGATCAGAAATAAGAGGTAACAACTGGCATAAGCAATTTATGAATTGAGGTGTACGTGCCATCTTCTACTTTCATTTCTACTAGTTTTAAAAAGAATAAATGCTAATGAAGTTAGTGGATTTACAACAGCATGAAAACACAACCTGGAACCAAAATAAAAGGCCTGGTTGACTGTTTCACTTTCCATTTTTCAGTCACCAGTCAGTTCAACTTTAATGCAAATATTTATACATTCTACATCTTCAGGGTAGAAGAAACAAAAGAAGTAATTAGATATTAACATCTTTTCTCATTTTAACTATCTAACCCATAAGAAAGGTTGAGCTTGGTGAGCACTAGGAAATGAATGCAGTACACAAAGGGAGATTTGTAGGACAAAGAACTAGAGGGAAACAAATAAATGCAGGAAGTTTTAGGCCAAGATGAGATTAGAGAAAAACCCAAAGTATCACTGTTCAAAGGACTCCAGATAGAAGACTATACTTCTATATCCCATTTATAAATTAACAGGGCACCCTATTTTACAAAATGTCTAATTTTGCCAAACTGTATTAACAGAAATGGAAGAAAATCTCCAGCAACATGGCATCTTTTGTTGTTGACAAGCGTCTCATGCTTGACCCCTGGGAGGGCCACATGCCTTTGCACTTTCACCATTTGTTTTAATATCTGTATAATAAAGGTTTAAAAGTAAAAAAAAATTCTATCTGCGGGTATATTATAGGCACTAGAATAGGTATAGAAGAGGTTATCCGCTCTTTTGAACCCCAGTATTTCTTTTATGAAATACAAATAGATGGGGTCCAGCATAAAGAACAGGCAGGAAAACTCCAGCACTGCTTTATTCAGTAAAGCACCTAAAAACCTGGATGCTAATTAAAAGCTTCTCCTAGTACCCTGCATATGCGAAAAATTGGCTGCAAATCTTTTGAGAGTACATTTCTGTTTGCTTAAGGAGGACTTCCAGGCTGATATATATATATTATTCACCCATATATATATGGGGTGATCCAGGATTTCATTAAAAGGGGTATGGTATCAGTGACCAGTGCTGCAGGGGTGGCTGCACCCTCTGTTTCCACCCCTAGATACACACATGGGTGGGCAGACTGTGCTGCAGGAGCAGTAGTGGGGAATTGTTCAAAAGTCCCTCAAGCAGGTAAAAATCTTTCCTCCCCTCTCCCTTCCTTTCTGTGCTCAGCAACAGGCTTCCTCCCCTCCCACCCCACCTGACTGCTGCCACTGCCTGTGGCAGCTGAAAAGTATGTCTGTGTGATAAAAGTGCTTACTGAAGGCTCTATGAAGATTAGACCAAGTGTTTTTCTGTATTTGTTTAGATATTAAGCTATAAGTTGTTGCTAAAAGCCTAATTATAGTTTAAGATGTAGTGAAGCCTTGTATAAAGTAAGGCCTAATAAATTTATCAAAGCCTAGAAGTAGTAAGGCCCTGTGGTGCAGTTAAAATTACCTTATCAAAGGAATGCAAGGCTTGTACTGCTATTGGTCAGTCTAAAGACAGTTGAAG